TATATATATATATATGTGGGGGGGGCTTATAGTTTAAGGCAGTTAAAAATTATGAGCTTTTCTTACTGAAGAATTGGTGCCTAAATTACAGATATTTTTCATCCTGCTTTGCAGTCAATGTCCAGGCTTAGCTCAGAATTTAGCTCAAAAACACTCAGAATTCTCCTGTATGGGTTAATTTATAAGCTGAACGTATCTGAACATGAAACATTCACTGATTTTTGTACACTATAGACTGTAATCAAATCCAAACTGTCCCACTGAAAAGTCTTACTTACGATTCCAAATTAAGACGTGTAATAAAATGTAACTTCAAGTATGTTCTATATAGAATATTCACTTAAGACATAATTTATCATAAGTTCACACACACCAATACATACGTACACAAAAACATACATGTAGACTTCAGATTGTAAATTATGGGCAAGAAGTGTGAAATGGAATATTGTGATATTTTGAAATGCTCTAAGACTAAACTCTGCTTATTCTAAAAAAGAGATTAATCAGTTCTAAGAATGCATCTAGTCTCTGTACAGGAAGACTGAAAGGACATTTAAAAATTGTCCATATATGAGGTATTATTTAAGTGAAAATAATGAACTACATAAACATATGCTATCCAAACAGACCAATATGAAAACAACAGGATTTGTTTAAAAACCCGTCCCTAATTTCAATGATCTCTGCAATTCCTTCCCTAATACATGCGCGCACCCCGCAACCGGGACGCGCGTCGCTGCCCCTCTGAGCGCCCCGTGCTCGCAAAGAGCTCAGGCTAATTGGCCGGAGAGGCCCGTCAGCCACGGTCTGCGGGCCACCACAGACGCCTGGAGGTGCTGCTCTGCGGTAACGGCCTCGGGACATCAGGTGGCACACCCCGAATGAGTAAACCGGGAGCTGCGCTGTGGCTCGCACGCAGGCAACACCGGTCTCTGCGGGGAGCCGAGCCCGACGTGGCCACGCGGGCTGTGGACAGGGCGCACTGCTGCGACCCTGCGGGAAGGGACAGCACGGAGCTGCTACCTCACGGGGCTGCTGGACGCGTCTGGGTCATGCGCTGAGACCGTGCCAATGATGTTCCCAACTTGGGTGGCCTCCGACACCTCCATGGGGTACAGCGGGGAGGAGAACACGGGGGGCTCGTCCACGTCCTCCACGATGATCTTCACGGTCGTCGTGTCGCTGAAGGGCCCCAGGCTCAGGAAGCGAGGGTCGGCGTCCCGGTTGGCGGCTTCTATCCGGAGCGTGTAACTTGTTTTGGCTTCGAAATCCAGGTCCTGCGGGAAAGTTACCAGGGAAATTACATTACCGATTAAGTAGCCAGGAAGGCGGGGCCCCGTCACTCATGACCGTCAATAAGCACGGGGAGGACTCGGCCGCGCACATGGGGCACCGGCACTGGAAGGGAACAGACGCCAGTCGGAGTCCTTGCTGCGTCCCTGACCCGTCGGCAGTCCTAAGCGGCTCCGAGCCAGCTTAGTCCACTGCAGGTCGCACAGGCAAGTCCATGGCTTCAGGGCATTATCTGGAAGACCACAGATAAGGTTTAAATATATTTTCCAACAGGGACGCCGATGCAATATTCTTCAACCACGTAACTGACTGCACGACCCACGGGGGCACATGAAAAGGAAAGAGAAATGCAACTTTTGACTGAATTTCTCACTTAAAAGGATTTTCATTGATTTCAGAGGCTCCATTATGGTCATGAGGGTCCAGGTGCGGCCACAGCAGGGGGACAGGTGAGGCTGACAGTCTGACCACGCGGAGGTTCCTCTGGAAGCAGCACCCAGCTTCCCCTCTGCCATTCCTCCCTCAGGGCACTCTCCTCTCTCTCTCTCTAGTAGATGGCTGTCAGTTATATTCCAGACTCTATTCCGTAACTTTTCAACAGGATGAACATGCCAACACTATCCTCAAAAGTGTGACCCGAGTCAAACCATATGGTAGCTTCTTAGAAAGTTGCAGGGGAATTAAATGCACTAGTGAGGCACCGTCTGTGAAGAAAAAGAATTATGTCCTCAATATGGCGGAGGGTTTTTGTTTTTTTAAATTCTCATGTGAGGATATTTTTTCCATTGCTTTTCAGGGAGAGTGGAAGGGGGGAGAGAGAGAAACACCTTTATGAGAGAGACACATGGACGGGCTGCCTCCTGCATGTGCCCCGGCTGGGGATCGAGCCTGCAACCGAGGTACGTGCCCTTGGCTCGAATCGAACCCGGGACTCCAGCCCGCAGGCCGATGCTCTACCGCTGAGCCATGCCAGCCAGGGCCATGGTGGGGTTTTTATGACAATAACATACACCTCTTTCTTCAAGGGATAGAGAGTCACAGTTTTGTTGTGATTTTTAATCTCAATCTCAGCCCTGAAAAACTGTCCCAAAATAATATTCACATTGAATGATGTAAAACATTTTCAAAAAGTAAAGAAATGGAAAGAAACACTATCAAATATAAACCTTAATTTACTTGTCAGTATTTAAGGAAAAAAGCACTAAGGAAAATGGGCTAAAGTGTAATGTTGAGAACTGGAATCCAACTTCAACCATGTCTCTGAGCACGTGTGCACATGTAAGTATGCGGGAACTCCATCCACCTCGCCCCACTAGGATGTGCTGCTGATTAAAATAAATTAAACAACATAGTTATGTATATACAAAAAAGGGTGTGTGTGTGTGTGTGTGTGTGTGTGTGTGTATATATATATCTGTACATATACACGTGCAAACAATGCGTACATATGCAATACATATGACATACATATATACCACTAATTTAAAACAAGACACATGCCTACATATACCTACATGTATAAAAAATATAAATTTATACACTGTGCGTGTGTTGGCACATAAATATGACAAAGAGATTCCATGGCTCATTAATGATTAATACTGAGGGGAAAACATATAAATCAAAACTCAAAATAGGTTTACTATATCTGGACCAGAAAGCACTTACTGAAATAGTTATTTGCTTAACATCTGTCTCATCCAGGAGAATGTAAACTCCAGACTTTTTTTGCTCATTACTAGCATATTCAGTGCCTGTTACGAATCTGGTACATAGAAAGGGCTCAATAAATTCTTCTTTAATTAGAAAAAAACTTGAACATAGACATCCAAGCCACAAGAGACTTAAGCTGAACTATACCTTGTCCCAGAGAATCCTGATGCTGGCGTGGGAGGCGGGGAAAGGAACAATCAGGGATATTGTTTTTCTTGACCACAGATACCTTCACAGAATTACTGTGGGAAATGCTTAATTCTTAGCTGGGGTTTCATACAAAAATGGTAGACAGAGCCCTAAACACCACCTTATTAATGAATTCGGTGACATGTTTATGAGGCTACCTTTTTGTCTACTATCTAAAAGTACTTTGAGCCTAATGGTTCTCAACCAAAAGTGAGAATCGAGACCACCCAGGGGAACTTTCTCACACGTGCCTGGCCCCTTCCAAGACTGGATCCAGCAGAGCCAGGATGAGACACAGCAGATGTATCTAAAAGGCACCGGGTCATCAGATGCAAATCCTCCTGCAGGAAACCTGACCTCCTCATTCAAGTTTTTTGGGTCTACACACAGAATCCAATATTTAATTTGGGCACTGTTTAGAATAAAGCAAAGCATTCTTATTTTCCTAAGTACATTTACTTAGAAACTCCAGATACAAATAGCTTGGGTACTCGCCTATTTAGTTCATTCTTATACTACTTATAAGACTGACAGATTACATGAGAGAAATCTTACTTTCACGCATTGTGTGTGTGACAGAGTGTGTTTTTTAAAAATCCTGTTGACCGTCTCCTTTTAAAATAATTGAAAACCATCACAACTCTGAAGATAGTCATTCAGGCTTATCAAAAGGGATACCAAGTATTTCTCTACTCCAGCAAAAGTTTGCCTGACTTATGACAGAATCATCTCAAGCTTACTGCACAAATGAATGCAATTATTTTAAAGCAACTGTGTTTTTTAAAGATGGGTCTAAAAGGCGGCAACATGAGGTTCAGGCATCTGGATGCCACTAAATCATCAAGAAACACAGTATCCTGCACGGGGATTGGCTGCCTAGAAGCTATTATGAAAATAGAGCAATAAAAGAATTCATATGAAGGGTAATGAATCAAAATTACAAAGGAATTGCTGCGCAAAATGGTCGTCAGAGCAAATCAGAATCAGCCAGCCAGCCGCTTTCCGAGGGCCGCGGCGTGATGGATGGGACCGTTAAGCCGACTGAGGAGGAAGCTTGTGCGCCGAAACGTAAACTCCCGTTTCTCTCTCTTACGGATTTCTGTATAAGCGACACTTTCATAACTCTTAAGAAGATATAATGAGCAGCGTTATACTTTGGGGGGGGTTAAAATGACAACTGAGGAAAGACAGAGGAGGAGGAAAGGGAAGGAGACACAGGTAACGTCTGAACAGGTCCTAGTCAGTATTTGAAGCTACATATCACTGGAGACTGTATCTAACTGGAAATTTAACCAAAAAACTGTTGGTGCCGTTGCCCACAACAGCAAGTAACAGGTAGGATTAAAAGAATGTGGAAGCAGGTGTGAGTCACATAGACCCGGAGAGGCGATTCCCACGGAGCATCCCGAGACGTCCAGAAGCCGCTCTGTCACCTGTCAGGTGCCGTTTATGTCAGAGATGGTGGAAGAGAGAAGAGCTCGTTTGGTCTAGACTTCCCCAAACGACACAATTGGACTGCTTAAATTTATTGCCATCAAAAGATGATGAACTTCAGGATTTAAAAAAAACTAAACATTGTCGCTAAGGCAGGGGTTGGCCACCTTTCCCTATAAGGACCAGATAGCAGTAATCAGGCTCTGCAGGCCACGCAGACGAATCCTGCCTCATGGAAATGGATTCCTGTGGCCTTGTGCCAATCACTTTACTGACAGGCACTGACATTTGAATTCCATAGAACCTTCCTGTGCCACACAACTTCTTCTTTCGATTTGTTTCAATCATTTAAAAATGCAAAACCATCCTGAGCTCTTCAGCTGATACACACACAGGCAGGAGCTGTTTGCCAGTCTCTGACCGAAGGAGCACAAAACAGCAAGCTCATCCTTCTAGACCAGATGCCCCCCTCTTCCTCCCACCCGTTTGCTGCCCTGGAAGTGAGCTGCGCGTGTAAACAGCGCACTTGGCAGCTGCCAGTTCAGATCACCGGTTGCCCCTCCTCTCTCCCGTAACGTTTTCTGCCATTTCTTACGGAAATCTTTCTGCGTCTTCCAGTAACCCCCTTACCTAGTAATGAAACTTCTTCATACTGAGAGCTAAGCACCAAGAGGGAGTTTTACACACATCTTTAACGTGCATTAAAAAATAGGCAAGGTTGGCATTGTTCATTCATGCAAAAACTGCACAGCAGCGCGTTCCAGTGGAAGTCCAAAGCTGCATGTGTGCTGGGGGCAGAGACTATGTGAACTCAAGGTCATGTCCATCCACCACCTGTCCCCTTTCTGCTAAAACAAGTTCTTTAGTCTCAAATAGCAATTGGGGCCTCCTATTGTAAGGCGTTAGCACTCTTAGGTACCTGCCTACCTCACCAACCTCACAGTGTTGCAGTAAATTATTGATAAATGTGAAGCTCCTGGGACAGTGACCTACACAGAGTAATTGCTGTACAAATTTGCTGTTATTGTTGTACTATTGTTAGGGGCATTACTTCTTGCTATATTATGAGCAAATCAAAAGGAAAGACCATGTGTTTCTCTTCTGTTTCCCCCATGACAACGGGGCCTATGTCTTTGGCAAAGTCAGTTTATAATACTTATCTCTTGAATTAAAAAAAAAGCACAACTGTCACAAATAGTGGGGTCTCAATAGTTCCTACTGCCATTTTTAGCTTTTTCAATCGTACAACCTCAGTTGAAATATAATTTGAATTCATTTAATAAAATAATAGCACTGCATTCTCCCCTTCGTATAGCTTGGCTTTGGGGCTGCAGCCAAACATGCTGTCATTTAGCTCAAGGACTTGCTTTTAGATCTCACACTTTGGGTCAATGCTGTTGTTGCTGTTTCTGGAATTTACTGAAGTTAAATCCGGGAAATTCTTCATTCTGTTCTTCTGTTTGAGTGCCTGTGTGGGTGTGTGTGTACACATGTGCATGTGTTTGTGTGTATGCACAAATGCACTTGAGCATGTGTAATTATTTAGTGTCCAATGTTTAATGTTGATTTTGTATGAAAGAACTAAGACTGTTTTCATCTCTAAAAACATTTCTTTCTCTAAAGATTCCCTCTGTCTTTTGGATCAAAG